GCCATAGGGCGGTATATAAATAAAAATTATTATTATTATTATTATTCTCTTTCTCAAGCAGACAATCTCAGTGATGCAATGCATCCCACCATAGTCATTGTTTGTAGGAATTGTATAGACAATTTGTCTACCATAAAGTACTGAAATTAAGTGTGATGGACTATACAATAAAATGGAATGTAGAACAATAGCGATTTCATGTGCAGGTGTTGAAATAATAAGATGCAAGATGGCTTAAGGCTGTTATGTTGAGAGAGTGTAACTAAAAAGAATATGTGGGGTGGTTTGGGAATGAAAGGAATAAAAATTATTAATTAATTAGAAGGAATGGGAGATAAGTCCTACCATGAGTTTGAAATTGTGTGTAGTTTGACAATGAAATTCACTGAAGTGGATCAATAGTTTCTTAATAAAGGTTTCTGAGTTTTTAGTACTGAGCCTGAGTTTCCGAATTTGGGGGATTATTGCATTAACTTTAAAACGCATTAAAAAGAGAGCTACCTAATCTGATCTGAAGTACATTTCGGGCTGCATTTGCAAAAAATCCACCATCTGAATGCAGCCCGAATTCAGCCAGGCTGACTTAACTCACTTTGGCAGCCATTTTCTAAGTTGGAACTTTCCAGCTTAAAAAAAAAATGGTTGTCAAAGTGAGTTAACTGAATTTTACTAATGTTTGGGTGAGGTAAGTCTCTTTTTAATGTGTTTTGAAGGTAGTGCAATAATTCAGACTGAATTCAGCCTCCATTCCATGCAATAGCATAAAATCCATGCAGCCTGAATTTTACTTCCATTCAGGTGAGGTAAGTCTCTTTTTAATGTGTTTTGAAGGTAGTGTGATAATCTCCTTGTATCTTGCTGATTTTGACAGTACCCAGTTGTTTTACCATTGTGGTTAATTGTTCTTCCAAAGATTTGACCATTAAAAAAACTTCCTTTGAGGCTTTAGCTGACCTAATAGGCCATCCCTAGTATTGCTCCTGGTCAAAATATATATCAAGCAGAAAAAGAGAGAATTAAACAGTTAAGCGGTTTTTCCTGCAGGTAATCTCTACGCCCACTCTCATTGCATCTATATTCACTGCTAGCTACGGAGAAATAAAAATGAGGGGAATGGTGGAGGCCCAAAGAATGAGAAACACAGAACCCAACAGATGGGAAATATTACCTGTTATATGGTTCATTTCAATGGAAGCCCATCTTCATCCTTGAGAGAAGTAAATACTGGGGTGTCAGAGGGTTCTGTCCTGGGCCCAGTGCTAGTCAATTTCTTTTTCAAAGACTTGGATGAAGGAATAGAGGGCATGCTTATCAAATCTGAATGTAACACCAAATTCTGAAGAGTAACTAATACTCCAGAGGATAGAATCAAAATTCAAAATGACCTTAATAGATTATTAAGCTGGTGAAAACTGAACAAAATGAATTTCAACAGGGAAAAATGTGAGGAACTGCATTTAGACAGAAAAAAATGAAATGCACAATATTGGACAGGAAAACCTTGCTTGACAACAGTACATGTGGAAAGAATCTAGGAGTCCTAGGAGACAAGTTGAACATGAGTCAACTGTGTGATCTCTCATCTAAAAATGTCAATGTAATTCTAGGCTGCATCAATAGAAATCTAGTATCTAAATCAAGGGAAGAAATAGTACCCCTCTATTTGGCTTTGGTCAGGCCTCACCTGGAATACTGTGTCCTGTTCTGGGCACCCCAATATAACCACAATTCAAAAAGGATGCTGAGAAGCTGCAATGGCATCACCGGGGGGGGGGGTACTGTGGTGCAGCTTACACTGGGTGACATCCCAGAAGAAGGGTGATGCTTGGTTGGGCCCTCCCTTAGCTGGAGGGGTGAGAACTGCCTCATCTACAACCCTCCTTACCCCACTGTCATGATGCTGCTCTCCTCATGATGAGAACAATGCTGTGGGAGTAAAGGAGAAGGATGCCTGTGGCCCTTCTGACCTCACTGCCTCAGCACTGCCCTCCTCATGAGGAAACTGGCCCGCAGCAGCAGTGAAACAAGGGCAAACACATAGCTCTCCAAAGAATAGGGTGACCAAAATGATGAAGGGTCTGTAAACCATGCCTTATGAGGAGCAACATGGAGAGCTGGATATGTTTGGCCTGGGGGAAAAAGGTTAAGAGATGATATTATACTCCTGTTTAAGTTTATAAAGGGTGTCATACTGAGGATGGAGCAAGTTTTGTTTACTGCTGTTTCAGAGTATAGGACCCAGAGCAATGGATTCCAGCTATGGGAAAAGAGATTCCAGCTCAACATTAGAAAGAACTTTCTGACAATAAGAGCTGTTCAACTGTCAAACATATTTTCTCAAAGAGTGTGGATACTCTTTCTTTGGGTTTTTTAAACATAGGCTGGATGGCCATTTGTCAGGAGTGCTTTGATTTTGTATTCCTGCATGGCAGAATGGCATTGGACTGGATAGCCCTCGTGGTCTTTTCCAGCTCTATGAGTCTATTATTCTAACTAGGATGAAAAAAA